AGGAATGAAGAAAGGGACAGAAAATTCTGCTGCTAGCAAACCAGCAGGGAAATGGGAAGGAATGGCCAGAGAGGTCTGTAAAATCTAGTTCTACTTAATATCTGTACGAATGATCTGGACAAGGGGACTGAGTGCACCCTTGGTAAGTTTGGGGATGACACCAAGTTGGGCAGGAGTGCTGATCTGCCTGGGGGCACGAAGGCCCTGCAGAGGGATCTGGGCAGGCTGGATCAATGGGTCAAGGCCAACTGTATAGGGGGGGTTCAGCCTGGAGAAGAGGAGGCTCAGGGGAGACCTTATCGCTCTCTGCAAGTCCCTGAAAGGAGGGTGCACAGTGGTGGGGGTTGGTCTTCTCTCCCAAGTGACAGGACAAGAGGAAATGGCCTCAAGTAGCACCAGCAGAGGTTTAGACTGGATATTAGGAAAAATTTCCTCCTGGAAAGAGCTGTCGGGCAGTGGAACGGGCTGCCCAGGGAGGTGGTGGAGCCACCATCCTGGGTGGGATTTAAAAGCCATGTGGACGAGGTGCTCAGGGACATGGTTTAGTGATGGAATTATCAGTGCTGGGTTAACAGTTGGACCTGATGATCTTAAAGGTCTTTTCCAACCTACAAGATTTTATGATTCTCAGTGACATACATGTGATGAACAGCAAACAATTGTTCACTATTTCTCCAACAGTATCAGCAGGTTATCAGCTGTAACTAGTATATGCAGGCTTGATACAAACAAAAGCAGATGTAGTTAAGCTGTGAAATTCTTTGCTGTAGCACACTCTGGATGTTAAATAAGTAAGTGGGTCCAGAAAACATTTGGGCAAATTCCTGGGAATTCATCAGCGGCTGTTAAACACAAAGACCGCACTGCTGGCATAACAAGTCACCGGAAGGTGAGGAAGGACCACAGCACACTTGTCCTGTGCTTCTCTCAGCATCCTCTACCATCTGCTGCCAGCCACCACGGGGGCAGAGTGCTTGGCAAAGGCTGTCTTTGGTGAAACCGCCATGGCTGTCTCGTAGCATTCAAGTGGCAAATGTTCACACCTAAAGCACAAGGTGCTACGTGTGCACTGTGGTCATTCACCAGAAATTCCCGAGTGACAAACGGAAGCTGCCAACGGAAGGCCTCGGCTGCCTCCGCTCACCCGGATAGACGCCTTGTTGCAGTAGACCCGAGTGATGGCCAGCCAGGTGGGCAGCTCCAGCACATTCTGCAGCACCTCTTCATCCAGCTCCAGGTTGGTGAGCTGCCCCTGCCCTTTCAGCGTGCTCAGGTTGATTTTGTCTGGAGAGAGATTCTTGGTAAACCTACAAGAGAAAAAAAGAAGTGACTAAAACCAACCCCCAGCAAAGCGGCTGAGACTAGAGAAGCCTTTAAGAGAACTATTTTAAGAATCTGCTTGCTGTTTTGGTAAACTCTTTCTGACATTTTTAAACCCAGGGCATGTTGGTTGCTCCAGAAAAAAAAAACATCTTTACACTTTGACATTTTAAGGACTTTAATTTGTTTGTTTCTTTTAAATCAAATTCAACTTTGAGAAACTGAAAATTCCTTCTAAAGCACTGGGAACATGGAAACCTATAAAACTGCCCTAGGACAAAAGCAAGAAAGCCATAGCCAAAGTGCAACAGATCAGCAATTTTAGTCCTGCTGGACCTCCCATATCAACGGTGTAAAGTTTAATAATCTAGATGCTTTTTGAAGATTTGATCATTAATAAATTACTTTCATGGCTGTCTCTTTAAGCCCAGTTTCACAACCCAGCCTGCTCTTTGGTCAGCAGGTCCAGGCATGCAACTTAACTCCCCTCCCCAGTGACCAGCCCAAGCTCCCGTCCCCCTCTCCTTGTGGCAACCGGCAGCTGCTGCTCTCTCTGGTTTCAATTCCTCCTCCCAAGGGCTTCTGTTCCACCTCCCTTGTACGCAGCTTAATATCTTCAGATCCATTATGTGCCTGGGACTTAAATGCAATGGATGAAACACTTCACTGCTCAAGAGCGGTGTATTCTGGCGTAGATCTGGAGACCTCTGGCTTTATTAAAAACACCGTGGCCCCTAAGGAACCAGAGGAGCCAGTTTAGAGGCTGTATGTGTGCCTGCAATACCTCTCTGGGACAGCTGTCACCATCAAACAACCCTTCTGCGCAGAAGGGGCTGCCACCAAGGCAGCGAGGGAGCCTGCACTCCCCAGTCACAGGATTCAAAGCTGAAGACGTCCTGCCAAACAACTTCCTGGCTACTGGAAGCCAGGGCTTATTCCACACATTCCTCCATGCTAATGCTAATTCTGATTCTGTACAGTGGTCCAGAAAGAGGAAGAGAAAGAAAGACCCTATTGTCAGCGTAAGCAGGATTAGTCTCGGTCAGTCACACGCTGCCATTCCCCCTCCTTCCCCTGCACCAGCAGCGTGGGCCACCTCTCCGTGAAAGGCACGAAGGGTGTCTTGAACAGCCACTGCTAAAAGAGGGGAGGAGGAACCAGAGCAACACCTCCGGGATGGCAGCTGATGCACGGCAGGAGCACCAGATGTGGCACGAAACTGGCTGCGATGCCAGAGCAGATGCTGGTCAGACAGCCCAGGGCTTCCTGGAGGACAAGTGCCTTTCCAACACAAATGTTCTGTTAGGAGAAAGTCTGAAGGATGGTGAAGAGCCACTGATGTCAACCCTATGTTACCAATGCAGCAAGTCCTGGCAGAGGAGGGTGGCACAGACAAGTAGGCCAGTTTGCCTGCTGCTGCTTTTTACCATGATCCTTGCCATGGCAGAGTCAGACAGTTGCTGTGTTGTGCCATCACCTCCCTCCCCTGAGCCCAAGGTACACGCTGACAGCTGATGAAAGACCGAGTCTGTAACACACCTGCCAGCATCTCAGGCTGACACGTTCACCACAAACTTGTTACTCCCTTTAACCGGAGGCCCTCTTGTTCAAACACACTCAGGAAGGCGGCCAAGTTCAACACTGCTTCTCAGCATCCGCACCACGAGCTAACATCTTCCAGAGCGTGCCGCAGCGGCTGCTCCACTGGAGGGGAGATGCAGGGATAGGCTGAGTGTCTGCAAGGTTTGAGTCCTGTTGGGAGCACCCTCAAGCTCAGACACTGCTGAAAACCAGACCACATACCTCCAAAGGCAACACATGAGCGTCCATGTCTTGCATTAGTGAATCAGCTCTGTTGGAAGCTGTTGTAATGATGTCCACGGGATTGGGCACCAAGAGCAAAACAACGACAGGCTGAACAGGTAGGTACACTGAGCGCTGTTAAGCTCACGGGCTGCTCTGGGTAGGGATGAGCTTACAGGTGGGGAGAGGCTGAGTCGCAGAGCAGCTTTCTCACACTTGTGAGGCAAGGATCAAACCGCTTGTGCCACAAATCCCCATCCCGGGCTAAGTACGCTTAGCTGGGGAAGCTGCTTTCCGCTGGTAATGCAGAAGCAAAATACAAAGACATGTCTAAACCAGGGCATTACTTTTATTTAGTCTGTATGTGTATCAAAACAACAGTAACAGAGGGAACGGATGCTAAAGCTGTGAAACAGGACACTGGTGGAGAGTGGTATGAAATCTGACCCAGCTAAAACCAAATAGCTGTTTGTGATCATCTACAGGGCAAGGCTGCAGAAATCCCGCTGAACAGGTAAGAAAACATGAGTACTACCAGACTCGACAGAAGAATCCTTTCCATGAGGCGTCCTAGATGCACCATCCACTCCCAAAGGAGAGGTCACAGACCCCCACGGATGATGGGACAACGGAAGCTGCAAGTTTCATAAACAAAAAATCTAAAACTGAAACAAGGTCTCTCTTTTCAACCACACAGTCAAAATTCCCAAAGCTACGCCTATTAGCAAGTCCTCTATTCTTGGTTTCTCCCCTGTGAAGGAATCCGAGATCATCCAATGGAATATCTTCAAGTTTATGACATTTTGAACATTGATTTGGCATGTAGCACGTCACATGGGGCTTACAAGAGGAAAACAGACGAAGTCTGCCTGCAAACTCAGGATTTCATTGATGCCGAATCTTCATTACTTCTTAAAAGAACTGCTTGGGTCACTGTCAGGGGAAGGAAAAAGCAGTGAGAGCAGTCAATTTTAGATGTTTGCTGGCAGACTTGCTCCATTCATACTCATCAACAGGAACATTTTTGGCAGCATGGATTGCTGGCTTAGAGGAAAGTGAATGAAAATGGCTATTAGGAAAACTGACAGTGTGAGATAGTTGCAGCAACTCTAACAGAAGTCCCACAAAGCCAGTAAACTCAAAGGACAGCACTCCTTTTCAGCTTGCCAGGATTATCATGACAAAAGTCAAAGCAGAAAACCTTTTTTCTACCTTCTATGGAACTGTCAGGCAGAGTCACAAGGGCATTTTGCACGCGTGTACACTTACAGCAGCACGCACGCATCCAACAACCCTACCCTGTGCCTGTTAGCTGGAAGCTGATCTGCGGCACAACAGCCAAACGGACCATCGCAGCACCAGCACCCACAGAAAGCCTTCAGCTGGCTAGGAAGGTCTTGCCGTCTTCACAGTCAAGGCCGTGGGAAATACAAGCCAGAAGCTTCTAACAACTGTACCTAGGGAAGGCCAGCTAGGTCAAGCCTCTTCGCCCAGTGATTTGCAGGGAAGCGTTCTCCCTACTAAAGTCTGTTTCCCACTGTTTCTCTTCTTTTTAGGTGACAGTTCTTAGGGCTCTCAGCCCATGTCCACAAGAAGCAGACAGATACAGTCCTTAACAGCGTTATCCTGATTTCACAGCAGACTTACGGATGCTAACACCATCCTGACAATTTAAGCCTCCAGCCTTTCTTGGGATTTGTCCTATAAGAATGATGAGCTTTAGAGAAACCTTTGGCTTTCTTTGGCAATTTGCGAGGTCATCACAGGGTGGTTTGGGTGGGAAGGGGCCTTAAAGTCCACCCAGTCCCACCCCCTGCCATGGGCAGGGACACCTTCCACTAGACCAGGTTGCTCCAAGCCTCATCCAGCCTGGCCTTGGACAATTCCAGTGACAGGGCACAGTCTGATTTGCCCTGAAGCCTCATTTCAGGTTTTAGATGGGGAAGGCACAGAAGTGTCAGTTTATTTGCTCAATCATCAGCTTAAATATTTATCAAAAATGATGTCACTACTAAAAGAACGACCGCCTGATTCACCAACTTGCATATCCAGGGGCCAAACTCACTGATTGCGAGATGGAATTTGTCCAAATCTGATTGCTGGCCCAAAGCCAGGCTATAATCATAAATAATAAATTTGTGTTCACATTTGTAGCTGTCTGGTCACACCGTCTCCAACTGAGCAAACGCATAGACAGATAATGTCACGAGAAGATGCCTGAAATCATAAAACTTCTTTTCACATCCATCTTTGATTATCTTGCTGCCACGTGGTAAGGGAAGCCTCTTGTCAGTAGCTCCATACACTCAAACTAGATTTTCTGCCTCAGCTTCTTCTGCAGTTATTCAGTAATCACTGCCTATTGTACGTAATCACTACCTACAGCTAAACACATTTACTTCTATTAATATCTTTGTTACTATGGTTATTACATGTGAGAACTAATTAGCATACTCCAGTGACCTTGATTTTACTTAACGACAAGCATCATCTATTGGCAGAAGCAAGTAGCTGTATGGCTTGCAATACCAGCCAGAGTTGCAGAGAGCAGATGGAAAAATACTCGGAAGACAAGAACGCCAGGAAAAGGGTAACTTGTCAGCTGCAATGTGAAAACAGACAAGCAATACCAAGGGCCTCAGGGAAAGTGCTGCAGACAAGGTCCTTGCCTTCATCAGGATAACAGCAAGGGATGAGGTGAAGATATTCCACTTTAATTTGGAAAACAAATACGTAATCTCAGCAACTATGGCAAAAGAGCAGAGATTTTGGTTAGGTTTTGGACAGGCCATTTAACGGGATTTCCATCTTCCTTGGGAAGATCTTCTACAATGCAAAAATCTCCATGATGGGTCATTGCCCCTCATATTAAAACTTCTTATTTCCAGAGCCAAAGAGCATGTTTACTTGGAAAAAAGGTTCATGACTAGTACAAGAAAAGGTCAGTGACTTCCAAATACAAGAAAACTTTCAAGGAAGACAGCAGCAGAAGCTTTAACTGCAAGACACATGTCTGAGAATGAACTGAAAAATCGTTTTGGAGGAAATAAAACTGGGCAAGAGATCAAAACTTCTATGAAAAGGGAAAAAATCGCTGCCTTGAAGACACATAGGAGAAGTAAAATCCCTTTTAGGAAGAAAAGCCATTTCAGTTAAGCTTTTGGTATAACTGTGAAACAATCTG